TACCCATGTTATCTTTTCTTAATTCTAAAAATAAAATAAAAAATAAAAAAGAAAACCAATTGGCACATGCGTGAGCATGTGCCAATGGGCTAGTATCTATATATATAAAGCAAAATGTAGAGAATGGTGAAACATTCAAAATACCAGAAAATGTCATTGGTTAATCTAAACATTAAGAATTAAAATTATTAATTAAATGAAGATAATATGGTAATTTCACACTTTTTCATATTAAAAAAAAATAAAATTTAAAGAAAATTCAGATAATGAATCCTATTTTTATGGAACACAAAGGATGGTAGAATTACAACAAAAGTCTAGCGGTCAACCGAGGGTCAAACTACCCAAACTTGGTCAAACAGGCCCGCGAGGCCCACGACCTCCAAATTCTGATCCAAAAGTTCTTATAGGTTCTACAGGCTCTAGGACACATGTCCTGCAAGTTTAGTCCAAATCGGACGGTCGGATCGCTCACGATCGCACGATCGGACGGTTACTAAACCTTACCCCTAGGGTTGGCATTTTCGGAGTATCTGGGACTCCATTTTACGATCCGTCAAATCCTACATGATCCTGGTAATACCTAGATCAACATATTATAACTTCAGGACCATCCAACGGTCCAAACATAGCAAACCCGGAAAATACGCAATATGCGATATCCGTTCGGGACTCTAATGATATCCAAAATGAGATCCGAGCACACCTACGCGCTCGTGACATCGAGAGGATCACAGTGGGACAAAAATTCCCCTCAGCTACAATGCCCACGCGCCGCCACACGCGCCGGCAGCGGGTGGGTGTCCAAAGCGATATCGCATCGCCAGAAAACTTCCAAATCGTGAGCCAAGACTCCTACCCTAGGTAATACACCTAATTTGGAGTCACTTTTGTTCTTGGGCATACTCCAAAAATTAACCGGAGGTGGCCGGAATCTCCCCTCGAAATTCGGCCGAAACCCAATTCGTAAATCGGGTTGCCTACGCTACAAATTGATCAATTCCTACCCAACAGGCAGCTAGAGCTCGGAAAATAGATGAGAAAGCATACGTTGATCGCAAGATTTGGTGGCCGGAATCGCCGGAACGAGCTCCAGAAAATAACAGTAAAAACCGGCCGTTTTTCT